GAGGGATTTTTAAAAAGGGCTCACTGCATTGCTCAGTGGTGAGATACGAACAATCAGAACTCTAGACAAATTTTTTTGCTATTGTTTGTTCACAGCACTTGCCTGCATTGGCCACAAGCAACAAAGGCAGTTTTCCAGATTCAGCATCATCTTTAATCAATCTGTCCAATAAAGCAACATCCTGTTATCAATAAGAAGAAAATATATATTTATAAATGCATGTCTCAAAATCTCACTATTTCTGTCAAACTGGAAAAGCATGCTGAAGTAGAATAGAACAGTATTCCTCAGTCATGCCTTGATTAAATCCTTAATATCTTTCTGTTTATGACTTGTACTTTCTTTTACCCAAGGGTAAAATAAGCCAAAGGTCAGATTTGTGAGAAAAACAACAAATACATCATGTACTTTGTAAATATATCTCTTGCTATACATATTCTAAATAAGCTCTTGCACTACATAGCACTTTCTGCAAGACCAAGATTTCAGCTCCTGGTATCAACAATTCCTTCCCAATAACATTCTCGGCACTCACTTTACGTTTCACAAAATATGTAGGAAGACAAATCAACTTACCATTTGATGCTGAGATCCAAACATAGTGTTACAAGGCACCCGGCACATGCAAGAAATGGGTAGCCCTAGCTGCAATGAAAATGATGGAATATGAATAAAGCTTTAGGATGCTGGTTTCAAGCGTTCACAGAAATACACAGACTAAGCAACGAGATGCAGAAAACAGAAAATACAGCAATTAAAAACCTGGATATTACATTTCAAAGCAAGCTTTCTGCTAAAATTTATGAAGAAATTACTAGTGAAGAGAAGAACATGGGAGAAATTGGGAAAAAAAAAGTCAAATTTTGGTTAGCACATGAACTGCATACAGTATGTCTAATGAGACATACTGAAAATTGTGCTCTATATTAGCCCAAATTCATGCCTGTTTTCTTGGCCACCCTTCAATTAATACATCCTATAGCCAAACAGGCCTTTTTGCCAAACATGCCAGGCTCTGCTGAAGGTTCATTTTAGTATCACTAACTTGCACATATTTGGCTGGTGTCAGAGTATGTCTTTTCCACCTTAATCAACCTCAGACTTCTACCCCCTGTGTTGCTATTGTTCACATTGCTATTGTTTCTACTTTGAAGATAAAGAAGTAAATTTTCCAAATCATCATGCTAGATCGAACAGATGACCTTCAAGGCAGACACATGGGAAAACTATCACTAGTCCCAAACAATTAACTGCTGCTAGTATAAAATACCAGTCTCTTCCAGGAAAGTCTGAATAGTTTTTTGGGGGTTTTTCTTTTTTTTTTTTTAACCTAAACTTCCAACAGGTAAAATGAAACCAGACAGATTCTACTTGCAACTAAACCCCCAACTAATTCACTTTACCTGATTGCAGAGAGCTTGGCCCAAGTCCATTCTAGCTGCAGAACTAATATATATGACAGGCTGCTTAGTGTATAACACATTAAATCCTTCTACTGTATAATCTTCATAGCGTGTGTGAATAACAAGCCGACAAATTTTTAAGAGACCTTCACGATCATCTTCATGATAATAAGCTGACCCATTTTCATACCTGCAAGAAAAACTGAGTAAGTATTGACAAACGAAAACAACACCCAGTTTAATTTTTAAAATATCACTGACCATCTAAGGAGTTCGCATGGGGGAAAGGGTAAAAATAACATAGAAATCTTTTATTTACCCAGAATAAAAGGAAATTTTGCTCAGACGGGCTGATATTAACAAGGCAGGAAGCACATATTTTCATTTCAATTCAGAGATGAAGAAGGAAAACATGTTGGACTTTAAAATTTCTTTAAGAGAGCTCAAAGTCCACTTAACAAAAGCATGAAAAAAATATTTTAAAAGACAGGCTCAGTGTTTCACCTGAATTCAACATGTATGTTAAAGGAGAATGCAACATGATGTTCTTCAATTGTAAGTTGGAAAAAATGGAACGAGAGACAAAAATATGGCAAGCGTGGGCAGAAACTTGCCAGTTTTGTGGTAAAATCACAAATAAGGATATCTCATAAGCCCAAAACTACTGATATCACTTCTATTTTAGTCAGTTTAAAAATAAGGCTGCAATTTAGTAAAATTTATTCAGAGTGCTACAAAGCACTTGTCTAGAAGCCTTTTGAACACCTGAGTTACATAACTAAACTGTATTTTTTTCTCAGCAGTACTTATTATTGATTTTATGCTGTTTTTCTGCCTTCAATTTGATTTATTAGGCACACTTCTTTAGGGCTTTTGGGGTGGTTTAACCTTTTTCTTTAAAGCCCTCTAAGCACCAAACTCAGATCAGCGGAAATAGGAGCAAGATAACCAAAGAAGAGAGAAGGTATAACTGAAGAGAGAAGGTACCTCCCCCTCCAACATAGAGCCACCTATCCAGAAGATTTCCAGCCTTTTTCTCCTGTGGGATAGTTTAAGACACCCATACTGAATGATGAAATAAGCATTGATAAAATAGACAATTATAAGATATTTCATTCTACGAAAAATTTCAATACCATACCTGAAAAACAGAATGAGACCCCAGAAGAGCCAATAAAAAGTTAACTGACAATGTCTTTTAAAAATACGAAGTATCACAAACTCCAGCAACAGAACACAGGGCTCAAGAAATAAAAATTTAATTAAGTGGTCAACTCTCTGCCCGCAACTGCACTTGACCCTTGATTCCATCATATATTTCTCAGAAAATGACTTTTATAACAAGCATATTACTAACAAATTCCTGCCTTTCAACAAGAGACATTTACTTTTTTATTTGTTATAACGTACCTAAAGGATAACCTTTCAAAGAATATTAGTAAATTTATGGCACCATAGTTTCTTTTCTGGATATCTTGATTTCAGGTAAAATATTTTTAAACAGCCATCATTATTTAACCATATATGTTATTCATAATGACCCACCTGAAGAGCCTGCAAAGCCAGAGAGTAGTATCCGAAAGGATCCTTGTGGTCAGTTTTCTCAGTCGTTCTCTGTCCAGAACTGATATATAAGCAGCCAAACTATGTCCCAGTAGAGCCATGTGACCCTGTTCTCCAACATTTTGCAGTCTGCAAGCCAAAACACTGTATCACAGTAACTGCCAACTAAACATAAGTCACGAATATTACAGGAATTTCAGGCTAGCCTATTTTTACTGTAGATAGGCAGAATTTGCTGTTAAGCAACTTGAAATATTTATCAGAATGAAGCACAGTTCACCACAGTGACCACAGTGCCACCAGGTATTAACATACTCAAACCCTGGGGGAGACAGTGGCACTTGCGCTTGATTTGGTCAAGCTACTTACGATAACCCTTCTTTTCCTCCTGCAGACAAAGCTCAGAAGGCTATCATTCATCAAGAAGCTTTCATTTCCTTTTTTCTTCTTTTTGAATCTCTCTAAACTGTAAGTTTAAGCACTTTAAAATGCTTAAATGTATACATTCTAAAATAATCACAAATTGTAAGAAAATTGCGTATTTTCTACTTACAATTCAAAGTGCCTTTACCTGTAGGCCTGTGAAGACTCCTCCTCCTCTTCTCCATGCATGAGGTTCTGTACTAACTGAAGTATGCTCACCATATCCTGGCCACTGGCAGCCCGGGGCGAGGAAACCAAACCAAAGCAAGAGGTCAGTACCAGTATCTAATGCCAAGGCCACTTAGAACACTGCACAGCAAGAAAGCTAACATTTATAGGAGTGCAACGTAAAGTTGAAATGTTTATTTAATTCTTAGGAAAAGTCAATTTCATGCCGCAACTCAGGAAAAAAAAAAAGTTCCATTTATGCACACAAAGTTTTTTTAATTCTTAGGAAAAATCAATTTCATGCCGCAACTCAGAAAAAAAAAGTTCCATTTATGCACACAAGAGTGTCAAATAGATTGCAAAGTTTTCCTAAGTGTTAACTTGGACTTATGTAAAAATCATTTGCAGCGCAGAGGCTGTGACAGATTTAAACCTTAGCTTTCAAATGCAGCAATCTGGTGCATTACACACAAAAATGCCATGCAATTTTTCAGACTGCTGTGATACAGTGAAAACCTTAAAAAAAAATTCAATTTATCCAGAAAGAAACATCAGTCTCAGTTATGAATTTCTTATCTGGATGCTTTATGAATCTTTACTACGTAGCACAAGTTAATCTGTATCTATCTGTATCTACTCAATCACAGCAATGCTTCATTAGCTTCCAGGAGTACAAAATTCCAATCATCAAGGACAAGTGATCTTTTTTTTCTCCTCTGCATAAACATGGAAGTAGTCACAAAAGGACATTCATGCCTGGCAAATGTTCATGTTTGCTTTAATACAGAAGTTGCTTGGAAAGCAAACTTACAGACTCTTAAAAAAGAGCATTATTTAAAATCATCATTGCCTACCTGCCCTGAAGGGGTCCTGGAATATCCTTACGTATATATCTTTTTTCATTTTCTTCCTCTTTTCTAAATAAAAGAAGCAAACAAGAACAAACTACTATATCTAGTTTGTATTACGTAGCATCAAATATGCATTTGACTTTGATTCACAGGAATACACACTGAGATGCTTCACAATCTATGACTTCACTTAAAACATTTGGATGAATAAACCAAATAAGATCAACATAAAAAATTAGCTCAGACTGGAATGCGAAGTTTCTAAGGTTTTTAACTCTTTAAGAGAAAATATCAAACTTGGTGAATGGCCTCACATAGGAACGAAAAGTTATTTGTATTGCAATAGGAAGAGAGCAGATGACTGCAGAAAATAAATAAACCAAAAAGAAACAGTCACTGGATTCATTCTGAATACTGCACAGCATGCATATAAATACATGCATTTATTTGAAAAATCTCATCATTTCAGAAACAATAGTGATTTGTATAGTGGTAAACTTCAAATTACAATATGACCTTAAGCTACTAAGAAGAAGAGTTCTATCTGCTTAATGACAATGACATTAATAATCACCTTCAGGAAAGAGTTATTTCTTTTGTCGTTGTTATTCTTTACACATACCTTTGATTGTCTTCTAGCATCTTCATTGCTTCATTCAGGTTCTTTCCCATCTCTGCTAGAGTCGGATCCACCATCTTTGAGCGGGGGGAGGAAAAACAACTTTTCAGAAAGACTGATAAATCATCTGTCTTACTGGGCTGCCCACATCCTTGATAAAACATAATGCATGAGGCAGATGCTTTTTAATTATTCAGTGTGCACTATACAAAATGAAAATAGAGTATGGAAAATATGACGATACCCAAAATACAAGTCTTTCAGTGGAAAAGCTCATTTAAAAGTTATCCTTTCACTTCACTGGAGAACTCATTTCTACACTGCTAGACACTACCGTCTTCTCATCGCTTTGACTCCAGACTAGTCCCTCACACATTCAGCTCTCTTGCAATAAGTTGATCCTTATTTAAAAAAAAAAAAAAGAAAAAAGAAAAGAAAAACTCTAGCCTCTCTGCCATGGTAGTAACTGGAAAAAGACACAGAGGAAACAAAGCCAGATCAGAGACAAGCACAATATTATTCTTACATATAACCTCTTAGAAAAGATGATGCTCAGGAAACTAAACATTAAGAACTTTGAGTCTTTTGATGTAAACTCACAGAAAAAATATTTGCAAAAATGGAAAGTTTGTGTTTTAAGGTATTCATACATATTCAAGTATTAATTTCTATCAGAGGTTAAAAAGGCAGTATTTCTTAACTGTGGAAAGCAAATGTTGTTAAGACTGCTCTAGTAAATGTAGAACAACAATTTTGTAATAGAGAGCAAAAGCAGGAACACAATGGTGTCATTCAGGTTTTACCTGCCAAACTTTGACAGCAATTGTCAAAACAGATGGGAAACCACCTCATCTAAACAGTCTTATAAACTTATTTCAAATACCTTTAAACCAATCTGTAAGCTAAATTTGAGAAATGCCCTTTAACAAGACAAAAGAGGAAAAAAAAATCTGCAGCTGGCAAAAGAATGACCCGGAACTTGTTTTCCAACAGTGAAAGCCCTCTAGCTACATAAAACAGGTTAAAAAGCCAGGATTCACTGCTGAAAGCAGGTATAACACATGATTGTTGGAGCCTTTTGGGATGGAAAAGAACTTTAAAAAAATCACTGAACATAGTTCTTCTGAACCATTTGACAAACTCAAAGACCAGTAAGTAGTTTGTTAAGGCAAAAAAAAATAGTTTTCTAGGAAAAAAAAAAAAAGGAAAAAAAAGTGACTGCCATCTAAGCACATTAAACCCAACCCTCTCTTCAAATCAAAGCATCTAGTAGTTAACCCTTTAGGTTGTTGCTAAGGTTTGGGGATTATATGTTTTTAAAAACGAAATCCTGAACAGGCTCAAGAGAATTTAGGTCTACATCAGCCACAGTGCAGGGATACATGGCTCATGATAGCAGTGAGCTGAGAAAGAGCCTTGCCCAAAGCCTGCACGTGTTTCCCAGCACTGGCACCACAGGCACGCCAGCTACACAGGCAAGTATGTTTGCTCATGCACAAGGAGGTATAACAGTAAAATTAACTGCAGAAGGGAGTGGGATTAATTTACATGAGGATTTTACACTGTTTTCATCTGGAGGGCTGATTAAGAAAAAAAAAAAAAAAGCAATTTGAGCTTCACCATATGTTCAAAGGCTATTTTTTACTAAAATATTTAGAGATTTATGTCATGTTATAGCAAGTGGTAGGTGGCTAGAAGAATCAGGAGCCAGGCATGGTCGTACTGTCATACAGCAACCAACTGACAGCTCTGCATTCTGCTGCTTTAGAAACAGCCAGTAAAAAGTATTTGAGGAAAGAACAAAGAAAGCACAAGTATTCATTCAGATAACAACAACAACGAAAAACTAAATACGATTATGATAATATTTCCATGTATTTCCAGTGTTTTCTGTAGAGTTACACCACACCAAAGAAATGTTGAAATCTTAAAGTAATTTTAAAGACTTTTGAAAGGAGTGATGGACTGGACATAATGTATTGATTATGCCAGCCTCTATGGAGAGATGGTAATAAAACAAAACAAAAAATAAATGGCTAAAAAGCAGTTATTTGCTTAAATCCTTTTCAGCATTAAATGCTACATATTCAAACATCTGCTGCAGGTGATGCTATAAGATGTAGAGATATTACAAAAAAAAAGCATCTGATCTGCTATATTTGTTACTAACACAAAATGACATCATGTATTTTAACTCGCATGTGCTTCCCTTGCAGTTTACACTGTCTTGCTTTCTGTACCTACCATGCATGAATCCTTTCTGCCAATAAGCAGACAGAATAAGGGCACTGCATACAGTTTAAAAGTTATTTTTTCTGCCACAAAATGTTATTCTAAGCTTCACAGAGTGCTACGAAACAGCAAGTCTTTGAATTCGGATATGGGTTTAATGGGAAAATAAATCCCTTCTGTTTTTTTTCCAAATGCTAATTTCACACACAGCAACTTATTTTCTCCCTTGCATCAGAGGAAGCCAAAAAATCCCTATTACTGCTGCATACCGAATTTGATATATACTTTTCCTCCCCTGCTCACATTAGCAAGGCGGTGGAGGTGGAAAGCACATGAGCTCTCTGCTTAAACAGCTAAAAAAATAGACGAAGTTTCAAGGAGCCAGTCCATTATGGAACGTTTCTGAATACACGTTCAATCATGTATCATAATAAATGCAATGTGTTCCGATGGTTTAGTTTGTAAATAAACTCAAGTGTTGAGAAGAAAAGACTGTCATGCAAGTTTTGAACCTTACCTCCTAAACCACAGGTCAACACATTTCCTTGGGCAGTGACAACTGCATTAGATGCAAGTGGCATGATGCCTGTATTGGATTTTTCATAATGATGCACAGGAAGGCATAACCCTCATCCTGGGAAAATAAATTTGCCCAAGCAGTACAAGAACCATGAGGGTGCAAATGCTTGTCATCCCAAGCATTAGTCCTCGTTCTTCCAAAGCTTTTAGCATTTGCTGATTTAGACATTGCAGAGCATCTTGGTGATCTTTCTTAGGCACCTCCTGAGCATTCTGCTTTTCTTCAAACTTACTTGACAGTTTCCTTCATTCCCCATGTGAATAGTCTCCACACCCATTTTGGAAAGGCAAATAAATGCTGCACAGTACAAGAAACAGAGCAAATACAATTTTAAAGCAGGATGCACCAGCACTCTGCCTGAGTTCACTTCCCTTCAAGCGCAGGCTCCATCCCCGAGCTTGCCTGACTCCTGTTTTAGTGGCCTTCTGCCGCATTCGCATCCTTCACATGCACCATCTCTGTGATCCTTTCCACCAAGCACTAGGAAACTCTTTCCACCAAGTCACTTATAGAAAAGCTGTGGCCTCTCCTGGGTATTCCGTCCAGCACAGCAGAATTGACATGGCTCTAAGCTCTCCTCCACCTTTTGAATTCAATTTACTTAAAAATTATAAAGCTTACTTTTGCTTTTTCTATGGAAGTTTCTGACATTATTCACCGGATCAGTTAGACGTACAGTTCTTGAGAAACTGAAGGATAAAGAAGCATGTTTGCTTTATTTTAGGTTCTGTCCTCATGTGTCCAGGAATAAACTACGAAGATAGAAGATTAACTGTTAATCAACTCACTTGAAAGTATGTGCTTCTGAACATTAATATGAAAGCCAGATATACGTTTTTTAATATTTCTCCTCTGCTAAAAAAGAAACTTAGAACTGCGAACTGGAAAGTAACTACAAGAACTAGGACACTACTTGCAAAATTATCTCAGAAACTGAAATTGCTTACATTAGCCTTAGCTTCTGCACTCATTCCTTCTCCTGGAATCAAAGGAATTGACTCTGACCACAGGTAGGTTTTTGCCCCTTTGACTAGTTGAGTTACAAGACACACAGTGTCATTTCAAGAGCTAAGGAGGCACCAGCCACTGCTTCTTTCCATTTGGCATCTTGCCACCTCCTTCCCCTTCAGTCCTTCAAAAAAACTGATGTTCACTAGCTTGCACTGATTTTTTTTTTAGTCACATTGCCTTCACAAATGTACTAATCCAACTCAATTAGGTTAATTTGCAGTAAGTCTGAATCATGCTTACTTCCGAATTTTATTATTTTTAGAGCACTTTGAAGTGCAAACTGTTTGTCATTTAAATGCAGTGGTCTCACCATTGAGTTACTTGGTAATAGTGGAAGGATGTGTGGCCATCTCTAGTTGTGATAAAATGGAAGGTTAATTATAAACTTAGAAATGAGAATACTGTTTCATATACCAATGCTGTTTAATCTCAATTCTGCATTCTCAATAGAGTGTACCTCAGAAAGGGACAGTTTTTAACAGTCTGCTATCAGTTTACAAAACTAAACTATTGTGTCTGCAGATTCACATGTGTAGGTTATTGAATATTTCTTGAAAAGTATATCTCATTTTTTCACTACACTATTATTTTTGCTAAAGGAAGTTTTGTCACCAAAACCAAAAACCACTCTCAACAGTAAATAGTCTCAAACAAGATCAGTTTACTCTTCAGGCAGAAAAACACTATTTTTGTTCACCAGGATAAGAAAAGATATATAAAACAAAAACAAAAAGCAGCCGCTTTGTGTTAATTAGTCTAAAATGAAAAAGACATCCTACTACCACAAGGTATTTTGCTTTCCTTATCCTTATCACTTCCCTGTCATGCAGCAGAATTGGCACATGAGTCTGCTCTGACAAGTTTTCCATAAAGTAACCAGGATGTTAGGGCAATTAATGCAGTTACAACGGACAAAAGACAGAGGCTGAGTAAGAAATCAGAAACTTTTTCATATGTAGATAAAACAGTGTTATGGAGTCACAGAAAGAATTTGCCATGTTCATGTATTATCAAGGTTATCAGCCTGAAACTTAGAATGTTTAAATCCTTCAGAAGATGTGTCACTTATGTCAAAATACAGATGGGGGACAAACAACAACAACAACAAAATCACAGACTCATTTGCCAAACTCGTTCTGAAATTAATGTAGGCTTCCAGAAGTATTACAAGTTTAAGTTCACACAAAAAGGATTTCTGCATCTCATTTAAAGTTCATTCTAGTTCTAATCTTATGCTACACATATTCATACACCGAAACAAATGAGATGTTTGTCTGCTAAAACAAAACTAAGCTACTAGAATGTTGGTGGGTAAATCTGTGTATCAGACTCTACAGGTTTCACTCACAATCCTATCGCATAGTATTTTCAATTTCCAAGAAGCTTTTCATTTAGTAAATATACACACACATATACACAGACACACACACACTTTTTAAAATTTGTACAAAGCTAATGACTGGAGTTGTTTGATATTAGTATAAATCAAAGCTAAACATATGATTCTATCAAAATGTCTTCTTTATTAAGAAAAAAAAAAGGCATTAAAATTTGCCAAATCTTTGTATAAGTTAAACGTACTTATCACAGATGTCCCAATAAATGATATGTGTAAACAAATAAAAACGAGGGACTCTTTAACATATTTTTCATGGGGATGGTGCTATATCTACTGGTTCTGTTGCCCAGTCACTAATCGCATCAGAAAGGGCACTTTCCAAGTCTAGCACTCATTTCACGAGACCCCATCCCATACGACCTTGCAGTCCTGATGGCAAAGATCTCAAATACGAATCACACTGTGTACAGTAAGGGAAGCAGACGAGAACTATTAACTTCTCTTAAGCACACAAAATAAGCCCTGGCAAACGCACTCTACCCGGAAGGTGTACAGAACCACGGATAAGCTCTACAAAGCAGCCATTCTGGCCTCACGTACAAAACAGGCCTTGCGAAGCACAGCAGGTGCCATAAAAGCCAGCAGATGTGTGACAGCTCCGGGATTACTGTACTGGAGCCTCCCTGACTCACAGGGACAAGTGCCGCCCGTGACTTAGGGCATTACAGAATCAATATTTGCTTTACACAGTGCATCACACAGGATAAAGCAAACAGCAGGATGAAAAAAAGCCCAATATAAGAGAGGCGGAAAAAAAGCTCAAGAGTATTTCCTCTACCGTCTTTTTTTTTAAGATTTTTTTTTAGAAAAATTAAAACGAACAAACGAACAAACCCCCTTCTCCCTAGAGCGTTTTCCTCACAGTTTCCTCACAGACCCCTCAGACTCCCCGCGGAGTCAGGTCGCGGGGATCGCCCGCGCCCCGGCCCCCTCCCCGGCGCCGCCGCGGCCCCGCGCACCTTCTCCAGGGAGGCGTCCATCGCCGGCGGCGCCCTC